GCGGGAGGGGGTGGAGTGGGTGGTAAGGGAGGGGGTGGGGGCAGGGGGGAGAAATGAACCACGCCTTGTATGCACATATGAATAATAAAAGAAAAAAGGAAAGAAAAAAAAAAAAAAGCCTGAGATCTTTCTCTACACATTTGTATCAGTTCTTATTAACCAAAGGAGAGTAAGGTAACTGGTGAGCCAGAAAAGGGAAAAAGGAAGGTTCAGCAAAGCAGGAGGGACTGAGGGAACTCAGGCCATTCCTCGCACTGCCAAAGTCCTCCACTCAGCCAGCAGAGGTCGTCCGAGCCCAGGCTCCGCAAGCGGAGTGGGTGGAGGGGAGTAGGCGTGCGAGACGGCGCGCATGCGCAAACACATACGCATGCGCACCTCCGGCTTGCGCGCCGAGCTGGAGGGGGCGGAGTCACGCAGTGCGCGCTGCCGGGGGCGGAGCGGCCGTGAAAGCGGCGGCGGCGGCAGCAGCGGCGGCGGCGGGGCTGCGTGGTGGGAACCGGTGGTTGGTTCCAGGTAAACGAAGTGCCGCGCAGTGCTGACTCCGCCGCCCGCCGCTGAGCCATGGAGATTGGCACCGAGATCAGCCGCAAGATTCGGGTGAGGCCCGCATCGGTCGGCGCTGAGCAGCGGTGGGGAGCGGGGCCTGGCGGGCGGGCAGGCGGTTGCCAGGAGTAACCGGGCGTGTGGGCCCGGTCTGTGGCGGCTCCTCGCCCTGGCCTGGCCGCCCTTGGCCTGGCGCACAGCGGCCTCGGAGAGCGCGGCCGGCCGTGGGGCCTCGGGGACGTGTGCGGGGCCGGCGGAAGCCATCCCCGGCGGCGCGGTGGCAGTGTGGGGGGAGGGGGGGGGTCGAGCGCCTCCCCGCCCCCACCCCGCTTCCGAGCCCAGGGGCGGGCGCCGCGCCGCTCTGCGCTGCGGGGGCTTGGGTGTCCTAGAGTCGCGGTTTTCAAGTGCACGTTTGTTTTTTCCCCCGCAGAGTGCCATTAAGGGGAAGTTGCAAGAATTAGGAGCTTACGTGGGTAAGTTTGTTGTTGTTGTTAGCCTAGTAGGGTGTCGCGTTTGCAGCTGATTGAATTTGAGGGCGTGCATTCAGGCCACTGTACTTTTGACATTTTCCCTTTTCCGTGTTTAAACCCGATACTCCCTGGCTGTTACCCTCGTTTCATTGAATGGTTTATAGCCACCTTCATTCCCCACCCCATCCCACATAAGATGTTTTGCGATGGTTTAGCTTCCTCTGCCACATTTTCTATAACGTCCTAATTTTGTTCTATGTTTTTGCCGTTCTTGTTATTTTTTTTTTTCTCTTAACCTTTATTTTCAGAGCTATCATTTTGGATAGAATTTTTTTCCTTTTTTTCTTCGTTGGGGGAGGGGTTTGAACTCAGGGCTTCGCGATTGCAAAGCAGACGCTCTTACCACTTGAGCCATGCCTCCAGTCCATTTTGCTCTGGTTATTTTGGAGATGGGGGTCTCCCGGACAATTTGCCCATGCTGCCTTGAACTGATCCTCCTGATCTCAGCCTCCCAAGTAGTTAGGATTACAGGTGTGAGCCACAGGCACCCAGTTTCCATAGAATGTTGATGCTCCTGGCATTTGCCTCTGTAATGGTTCAGTGAGTTTTATCTTCAGATCTCTTTTGTTCTTCTCACCACTTCTAATTTGCAATGGTAAGTTCTCTTTTTCCCTCTAATTTGCAGCGGTAAAGTTTTCTTTCTCCCTTTTCTTGTAGCCTAGCCCTTTATGTGTGTGTGTGTATTTATTTATGTATATGTACATATATATTTAATATCCCGAGTTGTGTAAACAGGGAAACTGAACAAAGTTTTATGGATTTAAACCTGGGGCCGTTTGACTCCAAAGCTACAGAGCTGGGCTCTGGTGGTGGCTCACACCTGTAATCCTAGCTACTTATGAGGCAGAGATCAGGAGGATCATGGTTCCAAGCCAGCCGGGGCAAATAGGTTGTGAGACCCTATCTCAACAACAACAACAAAAAAACCCATCACATATAAAGGGCTGGTGGAATGGTTGAAGGCCCTGAGTTCAAACCCTAGTACCGCAAAAAAAACCCAAAAAACCTACAATTTAGGACAGTAGTTCTCAAAGCATACGGGACCCTAAGAATTTCTGAAGTCCGAATTATTTTCATATTATACTAAGACTTAACCACTTTCACTGTGTTTACATCTAGATTATGCAAAAGCAGTGGTTGGTAAACCTGCTGGTACGTTAGCTTGAATCAAGGTTGTCACGCCAGATTTTACTAGAAATTATATTTAAATCACTGCCTACTTGCAGTTTAAAAGAAAAACCAGTTCCACATAAGAATGTCATTGATGATGCAATAAAATTCATATTTTTTTGTGGGCGGGGGGTTACCTGGGCTTGAACTCGGGGCCTCATGCTTGCTAGGCCTTGATCTACTGCTTGAATTATTTCACCAGCCCTGTTTTGTGTTGGGTTTTTTTTGAGATAGGCTCTCTCGAACTATTTGCCTGAGCTGGCCTCAACCTGTAATCCACCTGATCTCTGCCTCCCAGGAAGCTAGGATTACAGGCATGACCCACTGGCGCCCTGCTTAAAATTAATATTTTTTTAGCCTTGGCCTTTCACTACATCTTTTTAGTATTCTGTTTCTGAGGAAATACAAGTGTTCACAAAGCACTTCTGTGGTATGCTGAAAAGATAGCTGTTAATACTAAAAGACTTTTGTGGCCAGGTGCAGTGACTCACTTCTGTAATCCCACCCCTTGGAAAGCAGAAATCAAGAATATCACTGTTTGGGCCAGCATGGGCAAAAGTGTAGACAAATCTTTTTTTTTTTTAAATATTGGGGTTTGAACTAAGGGCCAACACCTTGAGCCATTGCACCAGCCCTGTTTTATGGAGGTATGGTCCTTTGAACAATTAGCCTGGGTTAACTTCAAACTGTGATCCTCCTGATTAGCTAGGATTACCACGGGTGCCAGCTATAAGTTAGGCTTGGTAGTCCACCTGTGCTTCCTGCATAAGTAGGAGGATCAGGTCTAAGTTGGATCAACTAAACAAACATGCAAAAAAGACCCTATCTGAGAAATAAAATTGAAGCAAAAAAAAGGGCTAGCGGTGGTATGGCTCAAGTGATAGAGGGCTTGCCTTGCAAGCTTGAGGCCTTGAGCTCAAACTAGTACCACCAAAAAAAAAAAAGGAGAAAAAAAGATGTGTATGATTGAGTTGATCACTACCCTAGGCACCTTTTTCATGCAACATCATGTTTACTTCTAAGAAGTGATAAACTGGTTTCATGTACTCAGGTATTTATGTTGCCTGTAAATTGAACTTTCAGATGAAAATTATATTTTTGGAAAATTCTGCCTCCATGAGCTTGACCCAGTGCTGAAAGAATTTGCAATAACATGGAATCATTAATAAATTAATTTTTATATTATATAATGAAATGTACGCATCTGGTTCACTAACTCAGTGAACCAGTATTTTCCAAGTGGCCAGTGCATAATATTAAGAAACTATGTGTGGGTAAAAGAGCGATCAAAACCACAGAATGTATCAGTGGATTTTCTTGTAGCAGGGTGCAAAAAGTAATTGATGACAGTAGTTTTAGATTTTATGTTACTACTAATTTACTTAAGAACTTAGCACTTGTTGCGGAATGCTATTGGCTCATTCCTATAGTCCCAGCTACTTGGGAGGCAGGAGATCAAGGATGGTGGCTCAAGGCTAGCCTGGGCAAATAATTTGAGATACCCCCATTTCCAAAGTAACCAGAACAAAAATGGGCTGGAGGTGTGACTTAAGTAGTAGGGTACCTGCTTTGCAAGCGCAAAGCCCTGAGTTCAAGCTCCAGTCCCACCAAAAAAGAAAAAAAGAAATTACCACTTGTTCCGTTTTATTGTAATATCACAGAAGACTATCCATATTATCTTTAAAAGCTATTAAAATACTCCCTTTTCATGAGACTAGATTTTCTTCATATTCTTCATTGTGAATGTTACCACAACAGATTAAATGCAAGAATCAGAAATTAGACTCCACCTGTCTGAAGATATTAAAGATATAACAATAGAAAACAAAGCCACTCTTTGCACCTAATTTTTGTTTTGGAAACCTTAGTTTTAATGAAAAATTTTTATTAATGTAATTGGGTTATTAACATGTGATACATGTGTTAGTTTGAACTCAGGGTTTTGTGTTTGCAAAGCAGTCACTCTTATAACTTGAGCCACACCTCTCATCCGTTTTGCTCTGGTTATTTTGGAATTGGGGGTCTTACGAGCTGTTTGCCTGGGCTGGCCTTATACCTCGATCCTACTGATCTCACTCTCCCAAATAACTAGTATTATAGGCGTGAGCCACCAGCACCCAGCTGATAGGTGTATTATTTCAACATGAATTAACAAATCCTTTTAAGAACTCTCCATGTTAGCCAGTCATGGTGGCACAATCCTGTAAGCTACTTGAGAGGCAGAGATCAAGAGGACTGGTGGCTTGAGGCCAGCCTGGGCAAAAAGTTCAAAAGATCCCATCACAGCCAATGGCTGGACACGATGGTATATGCCTGTCGTCCCAGCTCAGCTGGAAAGCACAAGGTCCAGGCTAGCCAGGGCATAAAGCAAGGCTCTTACCTCAAAAATAACCTATGCAAAAAGGGCTGGCAGAGTGGCTCAAGTGTCAGAGCACCAGCCTACCCCTGAGTTCAATCTCCAGTACTGGTGGGAAATACCCATTTTAATTTTCTATGGTAAATATTAATAGATATAACCCACATAAATCAGAAAGGGAGCCTGCTGAGACCAAACAATTTGGGAATTGGTAGTATGTGAATTACTTACTATTTGATAGGCAGATTTCAAAAATACTTGTCAGGATTGTTGTAAGACTTTAACAAATAAGAAAAGTGAAGCTCAGAGAAGATGACCAGGATTTACTTATTCTTCATTCAGCACTTCATGGATGCCAGCTGTGAACCAGAAACTTGTGGCTTTTAAAAGAGATCCACAGAACACCTAGTGAGCACTTTTTAATTCTAGCATATGAAAGCACAAGGAAATGTTCAGTGATCTTAAATTCAATCTTCATGGTAACTTCTATCATTGGTATAAACAATTACTAACCAAGAATTTTGAGCCTGTTAAAAAACCTGGTTCTACCTGGACACAGGTGGCTTATGTGTATAATTGTAGCTACTCAGGAGACACAAATCAGGAGGAGCAATGTTCAAAGCCAGCCTAGGGAAGTATAGTTTGAGAGAAGACTCTAGCTTGAAAATACTCAACACAAAAACAGGGCTGGCAGAGTAGCTCAAGTGGTAGAGCGTGTGCCTAGCAAGCGCAGGGCCCTAAGTTCAAACCTCAGTACTGCTAACAAAAAAAAATCAAAACAACAACAAAAAACCCTGGTTCTGATCTTAATCAGTCCATCATGAAATAAAATTGTAGTAAAAACATATTATAGTTTTTAAAACATTTTCATATATTTGTTCCTGACTACAGTGGTAGGGTGGGAGTGGCAGGTAGTGTTACTCCTTTTTCAAATAAAAAAAGTGGAGTTTGGAGAGGACTACATTAGAGCTTGTCAATAGCAGGTTGAAGATGAAGGAACTCAGGCCTTTGGGGTCCTTAATTTCTGTTATGTTAACTTTATAGTGGAAACTTAGCTAAAGAATTGGATTAAAGTGAGTGCTCCTTCAGAACACCACCAGAACACCAAAATCTGCCCCAGCATGTTACACATTCACCATTATCCCAGCTTTGTTGCTAATGATCAGAGGATTTTTTTGTTTTTTTCCTTATCTGTGGGATTGAATCTAGGGCCTCCAGGAGTTCTACCACTAACCTGTACCCCCAACTTGGAAATTTCTTAAGGGCAGAGATTTCATGTTTGCTGTGCCCTAGGAGAGGGCCTGATATTTTGTAAATGTCTATTGATTAAGTAGGTAAATAGAGGTCACCCTTCAACTGTTTGAAAATAGAACACATTATTAATTCATGTTTACAATTAGCTGCCTTATTATTTATATGTGTATACTCTTTCTCCTTTTGAAAAGGGTGACTTTGCAACATCTGTCTTTATGCTTTGAAGAAGTCCTAGAACCCTTTAAGTTTACGAAAACAATCCTTCAGTAAATAGTTGAATATTTTCAAGGCATTGAGTAGGATACAAAGATGAACCTTTTTAAAAGGAGATAATAGAGTGTCATTTGTGTTTAAAATGGAGCATTTTAGTGAGATGGCAGTTAAAATTAATTCACAGTTTTCATTCACATTTTGAAGTATGAGCTTCCAGAAACCTTCAGAATTTTTATTTATATATTTTTTAGCATGCTGGTTTCAAATGAATTTGAGAAGACTATCAACTCTGCAAGAGTGTATCATGATCACATGTTAATTTTTCATTAGATTCTTAGTTTTCATTGTATGTTTACTTAGAAAAAAGCCTGTGGATTTCTAAAAGCTTTGCTGAGGGATAGATAATTGGCATACATTAATTCACATATATAAAAGCCAGAATTTGATATATTTTGACATGTATGTACCCAAAACCATTTCAATAATCAAGGTAATGAACCTTTAAAAAAAAAAAAAAAGTAATGCTGGCTGGCTGGCTGAGTGTCTCAAGTGGTAAGAGTGCCTGCCTAGCTAGTGTGAGACCCTGAGTTCAAACCCCAGTGCTACCAAGACAACGACAAAAAACTGAACCTATCAGGGTAGGGGATTGTTCATTGATAAACTGCTTGTCTAGCGTGTGTGTGAGGCCCAAGGCTTGATTCCCAGCACCACCAAAGAAAAAGAATGAACATATCTGATCATTCTCATTCTCTTTAGAGATGACCCACTTTCAGTCTATTTAAAGTGTACTCCTTTCCTAATAAACTTTACTATCACTTCACTGAAAAAAAACAAAAAAGATACTCATTGCCCCTGAAAGTTTCTAGGGGCTGCTTTGTACCTCTTCCTTATAACTTTCCTGCTCGTACCCATACCCAGGCAACCACGGATTTCATACAAAATTTTAGAAATGGAAATGGACTCACAGTGACAGCAAAGCCCAATTTGTATCGTTGACATGAAGCAGAAAAACTGTCAAGACTACCCAAGTATTCTGAATTTTTTGTCTTTTGATCTTTTCTGAGTTAACAAGTGATGGCTTATACTAGGTACTATGTATAAATAAGCAACCAGCTTGCTTACTATAATTGTTAGAAAACAGTGGGAGCTATTTGATACTCTAGGAAGAAAAGTTAACAGCCACTTGTTCTTTTATTTTCTTAGATATTGTGTACTTCTGTGAAACATTCTGACTTTTCCCTTTTGTAGAGCATACCGTCAATATATTTGTGGTTCTTTTGAACTCAACTTTGGATATTTTTCTTTGAAACAAATGTCTGAGGCCAGGCATGGCGGTTCACAACTATAATCCCAGCATAATCAGAAGCTGAGGCAGGAGGATCATGAATTTAAGGGCAACCTAGGTTACATAGAGAGACCCTATGTCAAAAAAACCAAAATACCCGAATGTCTGATAGTAATTCTGAAATAAAGCTTTCTGCCCATGTGGAAATATGATTATTTTAAGTATTAAAGAAGTTTTAGTAAAATTTTTTTGTTTTGTTTTTTGGTAGGTATCAGAATTCCTGATAATGGAGTTTCCTTCCTTATTATCAAAGATTTGTTTTGCTTTTTAAATTTTTTTCTTGGTCCTAGACCTTATCCTCATAATTATTGTGTAGGGTTACTGCTGTGAGCATAAAACTGAGTTGAGTTGACATTATTGAACTAATTTTGTGTGTGTGTGTGGTGTTGAGGATTGAACAGAGGGCAGTGCACATGCTCAGCAAGCACTTTTCCTCTGAAGTATACTTCCAGCCTCTACTGAACTAATCTTTTTTGTTGTTCTTTGAGCTTATTTTAAGATTGTAATTTTTAAGTTATGTAGCATTTTGGATATTTTTAGTTTATTCAATATTGCTGCAAGTTTATTACACAGAGTAATTGAAGTCTGTCTTTACCAAGGATAAAAAGATTTTCTCTAAAGAAATGAGGAAATAATTTGAAATATAATCAAATGGAAAATTGAGTAAAACTCAGTTATTCTTGGAGAATATCTGTCCTTTCTAGAAGCTTCTCTAGCATTATTAAAGATTTCTTTCAAGGAAATGAATTCGGTCTTAAGATTGAGCCTGTAATCCAGAATGTCTATATGTTATAAAAGTAGGAGCTCATTAGTTATTTCTAATTCCTACCTTTCTGATTGGAGGACTTAGGGAATGAAGGGAGAAAAAGAAAGCTGACCTTTCTTGTCATACATAATTCCAATAGAGTGATATACTGATCCTAAAGCTACATCTGTATCTTCAAGCACATCAGCTTTAAATACAAAGAAATATTTTAAGGAAAAGATAAAAAGGTTTTGTTATACTTTTCCTTTTAAATAGATGAAGAACTTCCTGATTACATTATGGTGATGGTGGCCAACAAGAAAAGTCAGGACCAAATGACAGAGGACCTGTCCCTGTTTCTAGGGAACAACACAATTCGATTCACCGTATGGTATGTTTCTGAGTTTCTATACTTCAGATCAAAGTTTGCAGAAGTCACTGTAGGTATTCTGTTTAGGAAGAGATTCTCTCCTCAGTGTGGAGAGGCTGTTCGTGAGCAATTAAAAGCATGGCTTCTGGAGCCAGACTACCAGGGTTGAAGTCTGGCTTTGCATCTTGCCTTGCTTTCTCCATCTGTAAAATGAGAAGAGTAAATCACCGGCTTTATAGAATTGTGTTAAATTAGCTAATATGTATACAGTGTTTACAGATGTGCATACGTTTCCCGTAGGAGTTCCCCCTGATTGTATGACATCTGCTGTTATGTTTCCACTATCAACTTCTGCATCTTATTCCTTCCCCTTAGCAAAGTCAGTTACAAACACCACTGAATACCAAATGTTCATACTACATTGGTTTCCTGTACTGCTTTTTCAAGTGAGTTACCTCTTAAGAGGGCAAGTTTGTTTTTATTTCATTATTACTACTCTTTTGTGGCACTAGGGTTTTTGAACTAAGGGCTTCTCACTTTCTAGGCAACACCTTCAGCCAAGTTTTTGTTTTCTCCCAATGCTGGAGATGGAACCTAGGGCTTCCTGCATGTTAGTCAAGTACTCTACCACTGAGTCACATCCCCAATCCTATTTTCTTTTTAATTCTTTTTTATTTTTTAAACTCATGTATGCCTTCATTTGACAAAATTCTCAGTCACTTTTACGGTTTCAAATTTTAAAATAGGCTACCCCCCCCCCCCCCCCCCCCC